TCCCGAATGGAATGATTCTTCTGGCTAAAGTGTAACCTCACTGTTGAGGTCCGTCGAACTCTGCTTTGGGATGTATGTCCAAAAAAACGCTATCGAGCTGATGCTCCTGTTTCTCCAATATACTCCTTCCCACATCGCTTAGATAGGATATAGTGCATAAGTATAACTATTAGGATCTGAGAATCTGAAATTCTGAAATGCTGTAATTCCGAAACTAACATTCTGAAATTTTGCAATCGCGTATAAGTATAACTATGAGACTCTGAAATTCTGAAATACCGTACAAGTATAACTATGAAAGTGTGAGGATTTAAGATTCTGAAATTCTGCAACTGGGAAATAGCGTTTAAGTATAACTTTGAGAATCTGAGAATCTGAAATTCTGAAGTTCTAATATTCTCAAACTTTGAAATAATGTATAGGTGCAATTATTAGGCTCTAAAATTTTAAAATTCTGAAACTTTGAAACGGTGTATAATTATAACTATGACGCCACCGGTGGGGCGGAGGAGTTAAAAAAATGGCCAAAATGAAGAATTTTTAAGTATAATCATCAACTTTTCTTTCTTTCGTAGATATAGGAGGAATTTTACAAAAGGTTTAAGGATAGTAATTATCGCTCAAATACTATAGGGTGTATCGGGGTCCGAAACACAGCAGAAAACCTGATTCAATTCGATTCGATTCAGTTGGTGGACATGGTTTCGAATTTTTTATCGAAAAGGTCGAAATCAGAGTTTATTATTGGAAAGACCAATGAAGGACAAAGAACTAGAACATGGTAAACATGAAAATATTGAGTTTGCATTTGGATCTATGCAAGGCTATCGATTATCAAATGAAGATATGCACAAACATTTATTAGAATTTGATAATCAATTTTAGAAGCTGTGGTCCTACTTTTCAATATTCGACGGACATAACGGTTTAACCACATAAAGGTTTTTGTGGGTTTTTACCTAGAAGCTTACTTCAAAAGTACAAACAAATAGCATATTCGTGATCAGAGTGAAAAGTTACATCGAATGATATAGTTTTCGGCTTTCGTTCCTCGAACTCGATCATGGTCATCCGAGATATCACTCGAAAGACAGATTCGACGTGGGACGCATGTCAGTCCAAGTAGCTTTTCACGCCTACTGAAACCTCGGTTTTCTCAAAACCCAGAGTATTCGAGCGATCGACTTGAACTTGCAGTACAAGGTGGCTATGATGATGGATGGCTGGAAAAATTTCCGCTCAATTGCACGTTCCCTGATCGAATGGCAGGGTTGAAAACGCAGGATCCTCTTCAGACTTGCTGAATGACCTTTAAGTTTCGAACAAAATTTTTTCTCAAAAAACGGCACGTATAACTTTTTAGAGGTTTTCATTGCGCATCGAATGGCGTTAACGTTTTGACTCTATGACCTTCCCGCGGGGACTTGGTTGATTCGGGAGCACATTTTGGCCGATTCCAGTTCGGACTTCGCGAAAAACCCAGTCTAAGGTGTGAAACACTAAAAAGCACATGGCTAGGAGCGCTGATTCCGAATATCGAAACCGCAGCTCTGTGCGATATCGTGGAGAAACGTTATGGAATATTTACTGACAAACTCATGTTTTTCGAACTTTTGACGGGGAAGAAATTTTTCAAAAAATCTCAGGACCACATATTCGTGATCAGCGGAAAAGTCGGCATCGAATGAGGTATAAACGAGCGAAATCTAAAAAGTGCTCCAATTCTGCCTTAGTGGCATCTTAGTATAAAAATAGCCTTATGAAAGGAAAATGTTCGAAGAGGTAAAGAGAGCAACAAAACATGAGACTTTCATTGGACAAAAAAAATAGTATAAATTAGAGCGCTTTGATCAAGAACTATTCCGTATTAAGTGTCCGCCCATCCCTTTCTGCTCGATACCTGAATCATATTTTTTGAACCATTGCTATTTTTAACTGTTGTACGAGTTCCTTTTCTTTCATGTTTACCATAAGAATTTTCGAATTGCATGGTTTTATATATATGTCCGATTGAATCAATAATAACGGGCGTCGTAAACCATGCTTTGTTTGCGGAAGACGAAGAAGTATCATTTCCCGACTCATATCTGTCTACTACATTGTTATTCAAAAAGTATTTCAACGTGTTTGCGTTAGACCTATTTTCACCTAGATCATTTGACCATGATCGACAAACTATTGCCACACAGGACTCAAGTGTGTGTCCAAGCGAGAAGAATTCACTTCTTTTCGCTAAAAGTTCATATAACTAAAATCTATTGTCATGAAAGTCAGTTTTTATCCTCCCAAGACGATGTCTGGAACAAACAGTAACCATATTCATCTTTTACCTTCATCATAGAGGTATATTTTCAAACGACCTGACTCCAGCATCGATAACACCATCGAAAGAATTTATATAAATAATTTAAAAAATAACCAAGTTGATTGTCCGAGTATAGCAAAAAAGGAACAAATCGAAAGTTTCTAAGGCCTTTTAGATTCTACTTCTTCTTTTCCGTTTGCCACTTTTTGCATTGCCCACATGAGATCATGTTGTATTTCTTCTGTGACAAGAGAATCTTGTTTGTACGACGGATGTTCACTTACAAATTGTCGCATCCATGTGGCATTCGTTGCCGTTGTCCCTGTAAGAAGAAGAACTAACAGCTACTACTTCGCTTTTTTTCTGTAAGATCTACTTAACTTACCAGCTGCTCGTTTCGATATCAATTCAAGATAACGATGGATATTTTCTCGACTACTCTCCGTCACTCCTTGTAATTCTTCTTTCACATATCGTTCGATGATAGGCACAAGACCGACGAAGGTTTCCTAGCATTTAAAAAAGAACTATTTATTACAGAGGACGAAAAGAAGGATGATTCTCTTTAATACTCACAGAACCATTGATAATTTCATTTATGGACATTTGCCGCCACTCTTCTTGTCGACTATCTCCACCATGAGACTCAGCTGGAATATATACAAATGCGAAATATTTGCCAAAAAAAGAGTGCTCTGGGAACTCGGCTTTGAGACAAACACAAAGACACACTGGAGCTTGAGTAACCCAGCGTTTTATTCGGGCTTCTCTTACTACTTGGTCATGCCGTTATCCCTACTCTCAATCTACTTGAATATAGCTTTGGGATTACTACACTTTACTCAGGTGGCTTGATAGCAAAGACCAATCGCAGGGAAGCGAGTATGAAAAACAAATATAGCTGAATCGCAAACAAGAAGAAGAGCTTCTGCACTTCTTACTTATTAGTAACTTGTGAAGCAAACACAATTAATAAGTGTCCTTTTCTTTTTATTCAGTGACAAAGCAACGAAGAATACACAGCTATAGAGTTGTTTTGCTAAAAACTACAGGAAAGGAAAGCAAAGGTTTGTTTGCTGTTAATGTGTCTACCTTACAGGCCTCAGACTAACTTTTTTAAGCGTGTAAATTTTGCATGTTCAAAAAACAAGCTAAGCTACGCTTCGCTGAACATTCTCCTACTTAAGAGGGACATCGCCAATCCATCGAGCATAGCTGGGAAATGGCAAAAAATAGATTTGGCTGGAAATATTTTTATAAAATTCTAGCAAATATAACTATGTGACTTTGATTCAGAGACTTGGAAAGTCATACCTCGATTTTTACGAGAATTTACAAAAAGAGCTCCAGAAAAAGTGTACCTTTTTCACCAAATCTGTTTAGTTGACATAACTTTTCTAAAGTCATTCAATAGGCCAGGAGATATTATTAAGTGAAGAAGTGGGAAAATGCTATTTTCTGTTAGGTAGAAAAGAATTTATCCCGGCTTAACGAGTGACTTTGGAGAAGTTTAAAGGTGATATTCGTGATCAGCACGATTGACTTTATATATAGACATGTGTTTTGGCAACAAACAAAAATAAAGAAGTTTTCCGGACCTCGTGCCCCGGCTCATTGTAAGTTTTTTTTGACCATGAAGCAGGGCTGTTTTTTTAAGAAATCATAGCTCATTTTGTAGCCATGATCGAGCTCTACAAGTGATGAAAGATTCACGTTGCCGCCGTACATGCAGCGAATAGGAGAAATTAAATACTGAAAAGAACTGGTTTTCTAAAAATTGAAAAACCGGTTTTTAATTACCTAAACCTTGTTAAAAACCGATTATGAATACAGCAGTAGATGTAATTTACGAAGCTCTTCCGAATGAGATGTTATTTGACAGAATCGGATAAGAAATGAAGGAGTTATGTCAAATATACAGATTTGGTGAAAAAGGTCAACTTTTTTGGAGCTCTTTTTGTAAATTCTCATAAAAATCGAGGTATGACTTTCCAAGTCTCTGAATCAAAGTCACATAGTTATATTTGCATGTAGAATTTTATAAAAATATTTCCAGCCAAATCTATTTTTTGCCATTTCCCATCCCATATGTAGGCAATGCTCGATTTTCTCGCGAAGTCTCTCTTAAGAGCTTTCCTACCATTTGTTAGTGGAAAACCATAGAACTGATTCACTATGTGTGCAGAATGACATACACTCTTCGTCAAGAGGTGGAAACAGGAAGGATTCGAGTTCAAAAAGTTCTAAAGCCTGACTTTTACGAACCATAAAAAATATAAAGCGTCCTTTAATCATCTACCTGAAGGAAATGTAGAGAGTTTTTCGATCACTAGATAAAACAAAATCGTTGGCCTTTTAGATTCACTACTTTTTCCTATATTTAACACTCAGCCATATTTGATCGACTGCCTGAATTTCTTCCTCTCCCTATCAAATTTTGCTCGAGAAATAAGTTAAGCTCCATCATTCGTACTTTGCGGAATCAAATCTTGTTTTCAAGAACATCAGCAAAAATAGTAAGGCCACCAGGCCACCTTTTCTTTTCTTTCCTGTAATAAAGTCCGTTCAAAGAACAATACTTACCATTAAAAAATACATTTTGTCGAAAGTGAAAGAGTTCCTTTTGCACTGCGTTTCTTCTTGTCGCTCGTTCCAAATTATCGTTCACCTTTACGACAGAAATGAGAACAGATAGACAAACTACCTTCTAGAAAGAAAGAAGAACTCACCGACCAGAGAAATAGGTATGCGAAATTCGAGTTTGTATTTGAGAATGACACGAGTAAGAAGAGCCAAGAAGACGTCAAAAGATGCATTTTCAAAATCAGCCATTTGCAACTAACGAAGACGCATGCATGAATAGTTAGAAAGAAGAACACTTTTCTCCACTTACATCCATAGGACGAAACTCTATTCTCCATCCCATGTTTTCTTTATCCAACGGTGGATGCTTCAATCTTACTGCATGAAATACAATCGAGTTCAAATTCTATGCATATAGAAAAGAACGTTAGCCGAAGGAAACTAAGTGAAATGAAATCAACATTATTACATCCAAGTGGAAGGAGCTTGTATCATCATCTTCTTTGGGATGGATTCGTTCCGCAAACATGACCAGAGGCTCGCGCACAAAAAGATGACCGAAATAACGAGCAAGTGTGACAGGAACATCTGGAATAGAATGGATTTGCATAACCTTCCATGAATAGAAGAGAGACTTACTCACCATGTTGGAGTAGAGTTTCCACTACTTCTTTGTCCATAGCAAGAGGAATATCATTGTATTTTTCACTTGAATCATCAGTCAAATAGCAGGGTGAACCAGAATTTCGAGAATCAATCATTCCTGCTGCCTTGGAAAAGAGTCAAAAAGTATATTATGCACGGTTAGTAAAAGGGAGCAAAGGAACTTTGCTTTTTCGTCACCTCAAAATTCAAATATGATTTCTCGGATAATTGATGGATGAATCAAACTAGTACCCTTTTTTTTGGCAAAATCAGCTATTAATTTTTCGACAAAAAGTTTATCTATGTATCAGGAAAGGGTAGTAGAGAGATTGACTCTCCCATTTTTCATAGAATTCTAGATCTTACTAGGATAAAATCGGAATCAATCTCTCCTATTCAAACTTGAATTCATTATTGCTTCATCTGCTATACTTTTAATCTAACTCTCTTTCGTTCGGCAAATAATCCGAAGTGATCACTTTCAAAATAGTACATACATACTTGATTGTTTTTCTCCTCTTCCGTTCGGTCATCTGCTGATTCGCACAAAGCATTCCAACGTGTGTCTACGTCGCATAAATAACCACGCCAAATCGGACATGCAGCACTGAGGGCTAACTGAAATGAATAAATGAATGAACAAGATCCAGCGGGAGAGAGAGAGAGAGAAACACACCATGACTGGAGTCATCGGTATTAGTTGATCATAGAGGACTAAAGTTTCCCGTAAGGATTGTCCTTGAAATGTCACTTGTAGACAACAACAACCCCATCCAGCCAAACAGGAATCCAAATGAATGTGTCGTTCTTTGCACGATACATATTTCTGCCAATCGGGCACACCATAGTCGGAGAAATCATCGCGAAAGGGATCGGCTGTGTGAACATCCTTGTAGACTGTGAAGAAAGAATGTGCTTGCATACTACTCTGAGAAAGACTTAGTTTCTTCTTTGCCTTTTCATCTAAAGTTTTCTTCAGTCAAACGCTTACAGTTTCCTCCCTGGCATTTCGTCGACTTTTGAGAAGTTTCGTCTTTACATCATCTGTTATACACAACGGAAAAAGTTCTAAGAGTAAAGGAGGGTTTATTTCTGGAGGCTGACAGCTGATAAAAAAGAGAGTTGTAATATTAGTAACATACGGGGAAGGTTGACTTTGAATTTGGATTTACGTCGTTCCACCATATTTTTCACAATTCTAAAAGGGAAGGAGAAATACTCTGAAATCGTAGTAGAAAAAAAGATCACTTACTTCATTTGAGGATGAATAGGAGATATAAACTCTTGAGGAAAACAAATCGATTGTTCCCAACTCGAGAGAGGATCACTTTTCAACACGGGCCAGGTGAACTCTGCACAGCCCATGCTAGAAGAAGAAGGAAAGAACGTAATTGAGTGGAAAAAATGGCTACCTCTTACCGTGGAAAAGCGCACACATTTAGAATGTATTCATCTTTTGCTAATAAGTGTTGTGCTTGCTCACGACGTCGTCGCAGGCTTTCCTCCACCATCGAATAATGGGCGGATGAATGGTCGAACGGGGAGGATAGAACTCCTTCCACACAATGATCGCCCGCTTCTTCGTGCCACGTAATCTGAGACCTACAATAAATAAATCTTCCTGTCTAACTCCTGTTTGTTCTATAGTAAGATGACAAGTACACTAGTTTCTCTTCTTCATTTTTGATAAAAGGGAGTTGTTTTATTCCTCATAGTTCCTGAAAGATGGAACAAAGAAGAAGGCTTTTAACTACCTGAAATACAATAATGACTGAACAACAATATTTCAGCGCTTTTATTCATAGGACCGAACGAACGAATACTGAGTGTGCTCTATGAATTGAACTGAATTTCACTCTTGCTTCTGACCCCAGGAGAAATTGGACCTCCCGGAGGAAAATGTCACTATAAGGAGAAATAAAGATCTATGGATAGAACTAAACTTACTTTTCTTCCACTTGTTCATTGAGTTTTTTCAGTTTGGGCAAATATTCATGTGCTTTGAGCAGAAGTTGTACCCGCTTCGAAGCATGATCGAAGCGAAGAAGTGAAAATTCTACCTACAGACATACATAAACAAGTCCTTTTCTTTTGTAAAGAAAGGACGTAAAGAAGAAATAGGCACAAACGATTTTTAGACCTACCTCGTCGCCCCATGTTTGGGTATCGTTTGTTCTATTCTTGTTCTTCTCCCAAATCCTGATGAGTTGTTCTAGAGCCTGCTTTTTCAATTCAGGTAGATGAACGGCTATTTGATTCCACGTTAACGGGTGACCTTCTTCGAGTAAACCCATTCTAGAAAGAAGAGAGAGAGAGAAAAAGAGAGGCGTTATTTTCCTATTGAATAATTGCACGCTTCAAAAGAAAGGAAAAAAGCTCGCACTGGTGGTGGTACAAATAAAAGAACGCTGTTGTTGATTTCTGAAAAAAATTAAAGCGTATAGCAGAACAAGTGTGTTTATGTTCTGCGATGTCTGTTGCATGCTCTTAAAAGAAGAAACGTTATTCAAACTTAATCTATCTCTTGATAAAATCACGCAGTAAACTGCTTGATAATCTTTTTAAAAATAACATTTTTTGAACAACATCTCCAAGGATAACCAAAAGTAAAGATGGAGTTTCATTTGTCTACTGACGTTTTTTCATACTAGATGCATAATATTATCAGAGTTAATAAACATCATACATACGATTTATCTATATTTCTTATTATCTGTCGTCTCAGATCATACCTAGCATTTTCTTTTCTATACTGGACTACTATCTCTTCTTCTTCCTTCCCTTTCTCTTCTTCTACTTTTAAACTATTTTTCTTTTCTTTCTTTATCTGTTTGTGTATTCTATGACTGTCTTTTTTTATCCATTTATCTATCGTTGGTCTCCATTGATGACTGATTCTTGTTTTATTGTTGTACGATTTGTTGGCAATAGAATATACACTTTCTAACCTTTTTCGTTTGAAAATGTTTGACTTATTGTCGAAAATTACACTCTCTTCGAATTTGATTTCTTTTTTTACATGCAACAGCATGTTTAGCTATCTCTGACAATTCAACTTTTTCTTTGGCTACGTAATTTTGATACTGTTTAACTCTCCTGTCGAAACACTCACTTTCACCTACATACACTGAGCTACATTCGCAGTAAATGCCATAAATAGGATTTTTGCATCCTATACAATTTTTTGATTCCTTTTTAAGTTGGTTGCATGCTACCATTCTAGTTTTATTCAAGATATCTCCTATATTCTTTGAGTGTTTTGTAAATGTTCGAACATTTTGTTTCCTCAAATTTTGTTTAAGCTTTTCTGTCATTCCTTTCAAGTGTGGTATAACCACAGTGGATGTATATATCCCGTTATCCTTGTTCTTACTGTTGTGGTTTTTCCTAATGTTTCTAACTTTATTCTTTATAGTTTTTGTGGTAGAGTTAGGATAACTACTATTTAGCAACAATTGACAAAGAGCTGTGATATCTGATTCGTTAGTTTCATTTTTATTTGTCATCATTATTTTATTGAGCATATTACTAGCAATGTTCTGTTTAATGGTTTCATTATGATCCGACCTAAAATCTAGTAATGATTTAGCTGCTGTTGGTTTCGGATACCATGTTGTCTTAAATTTATGATTCTCCTTGTCTACTTTAATTAATACATCTAAAAACGATAAGTTAGACTCATTTTCAAATTCTGACGTGAACTGAATATTATTCTTGTCAATTTTATTTAGATACGCTACTAAATCTTTAATTTGATCCTTATCTAATTCTGACATTAGAATTATGTCGTCTACATAACGTTTCAACATATTGTACGGGAACTTATTTTTGTCCCTATTTTTGACAATAAAATCATTCATAACGAGATCTGCCAGGAGGGGAGATAGTGAATTCCCCATTGGCAATCCCATTTTTTACTTATAAATTTTGCCGTCAAATCTAAAAACTATATTATTGATGCAAAAACTGACAATTTCAAGTATACTTTCTTTTGTCAAACTACTATCGGCCATCCAGATGTCATCGTGTTCTAAAACTGGTTTTAATATTTCTAGTGCCCTATTCTTATCGACTGATGTAAAAAGATCTACTACATCTATTAGATGTAAGTATACTTGAAATTGTCAGTTTTTGCATCAATAATATAGTTTTTAGATTTGACGGCAAAATTTATAAGCAAAAAATGGGATTGCCAATGGGGAATTCACTATCTCCCCTCCTGGCAGATCTCGTTATGAATGATTTTATTGTCAAAAATAGGGACAAAAATAGGTTCCCGTACAATATGTTGAAACGTTATGTAGACGACATAATTCTAATGTCAGAATTAGATAAGGATCAAATTAAAGATTTAGCAGCGTATCTAAATAAAATGGTGCGAGAGAGGCCGACATTTCCACATTGGTAATTTTGAGAGAAAGAACTCGCTCCTGTTCTATGATTGAAATTACCAAACCGAATACATCGCCACGGAAGAACAAGTTCGAATTATGTAGGATCTGATCGAGTAAGGAAGTGAGGTCAGCGAATGAATGACGAAGTTCGGCGGCCGAAAAGTATTCCAATAATTCAAAGAGTAGATCGACATGGATGGAATGAAAGGTCGACGATCGTCCTCCTGGTATTATTGTTGGCAAGGAAAGGAAGAACGCGGTGTAGTCTCTCCTCGTCAGGGCGGGAAAGAAAACTTACCATTTATTTTTTCTTCGCCAACAGTGATGAGCTGAACGTGTTTTACAGAAGAAATATCGCCCATCCTTTAATTTGGTTGTACACAAAAATATCTAGAAACAAAGAAATGTGCAATCAAAAAAACGTATTATGACTAAGAAGTGGACCGTTACCAGTTACCGTTAATGTAACGGTAACGACTCCAGCGTTACCGTTACCGATAATGCGTAACGGCCGTTACTTGTAACGATGACAGTTTGACTGTAAAAATCTTGACCTAGCACGTGGACATGTAACCGGTTACTAGTACAAGTAACACTTCAAGTGTTACCTTTACTAGTAACGGTAACCCAAAACCGTTACCATTACCGGAGTGACGGGAGTAACGGTAACGAGTAACGGTTCACCCCCAAGTTCCACAGCTTTAGATTTACTCGACCTCAATAAGTTTTTTAATGGATTATATTTTTCATCCTATACGATTCTGTATCTAGAAGGATTTTTTGATAGAGAAGCAGTCAAAATGTAATCCTTTTTTCTCTGAAAAATGTTCTGCTTTGACATCAGAGGGTAATGGAGTAAAGAAAGACATATTAAGATATCGTCGTCTGACGAGTTTTGCTGACATGCTTCTAAAAAGATAGACTCACCATGTTCAGAAACAAAAGTAAAGTCGATACCTTTTTCACTCTCACAAGTCCATCCACAACCTCGTACAAGGACATTTGATTTGGTAAGCTTGTTCTACTTCTCCATAATGAACATTTCTTTCCTTCTCATACTACATATTTCGAAATAAATTCTGACTCTTGAACATAAATTCTCAGCATTCTCACCCGTGATTATTTTTCCAGTGCAATATTCTAGGTATTTTAAAATCGGAACAAACAATAATTTGGCAAGAAGAGCAAGGTTTTCAGCAAGATTGTTGCATCTGATAGAGAATTAATGTCTCCCACCTTTTGATTTCGGGTATCTGTTTGTAAAGTTTTTTCTTAAATTCCACTTTATTTCTTCTTTTTTCCTTCAGGAATCTCCTGCTTTATCAACCGCCTACGAGAATTATCGTCCACCTCCTCCTCATTGACATCCGCCGAGATACTTTCCTTTCCTTCTCTTCTTCCAAATTCTTCTAGATACAGAATCATATAGGATGAAAAATATAATCCATAAAAAACCTATTGAGGTCGAGTAAATCTAAAGGTGTGGAACTTGGGGGTGGACCGTTACTCGTTACCGTTACTCCCGTCACTTCGGTAATGGTAATAATTTTGCGTTACCGTTACTACTATCCGTTCCAAATGGTCAGACCGCTGGTTGCTTTTTGAATAACTTTTGATAGGAATGAGATAGAGACCTGCGATTTTCGCTGTTCAATAGCCAAGACTTGAGCAAA